CTTCCGGTCTTATGAAGAAGTAAAAAATTGGATCAATTCGTGGATCGCCTCAAAGGATGACCAGTTTTTTCGACGCGGGATTGGTACGCTGCCCGAAAGATGGGAGAAAGTAGTGGCCAGTGATGGACAATACTTTGAATTATAAATGTATTACCAGGTTTTTACAACAAAGCCGAATTTCGGAATTTCGAAAAAAAAAACGGCGGAAGCAAAAGTTGTACACTTAATATTACAACTTAACGTTATTTATAATTTGTAGTGTTACAAATATCAATTACATCAATTATAGTTCCTTATTCGTTGATTTATGTATTTTATTGTTCCGATGACAATTACTTACGCGTATGGGCATGGATAGCGTATATACGGAAGCGTTACTAATTAATTCTTAAAAATGATGTGTCGTAATGTAACTTTATTACACATGGTTGAATTTGTAAAAAAATAATCTTTAATTAGGTAAAAAAATTTTGAAAATTTAAGAAAATTATGGGTGGTGAAAGTATTTTGTTAAATAAAAAATAAATAAAATTTTTCTTTGTAACTTTAAAGTACTCTTGAAACTGTACAATTTTTGTTAAAAAATTTTTTGTCTATTTTTTATACTTAGACGATATTCGCCTCGAAAGAAAAATACCGTTTTTTTTTCAAAGAGGTGTTTCACCCCTTAAACATGAGTTAGGGCACGTATAAAAAAATACGTGTCTCTTAGATTTTCGTATTTAACAACATATTTCATGGAAAATCAAATCGGTTCCGGACAGTTGTGAAACTTCCTTTGTTAGTAAGTCGAGAAAAGATGCGCTGAAACTTGCACCTTATCTTGATATATGTATCGTCTACTACAAAAACAATATTAACATTTTTATGCGATTAAAAAGTTATTTGCACCACGAAAACCATTAATGACCGATACTTTTCAATACAATGGAATTTAATTGCTGCCATCAGATAAAAAGTATGGGCAACGAAGTACAGGCGTATTGTACCAGTAATATTAATTTAAACGTTCTAGATTATGTTAAACAGTCAATAACCCATGGTACTCCGTGACCCAT